TGAGACTGGCCTCATTGGCTGGGCCTGGTGTTGGGGTTTAGCTATCGTAGCCAGGGAGCGGTCGGTGTCGTAAAAATGAACGCTGGAGTGCCGTAGCCGAGGTGAGAGAACGGATGCGTCCAAATTGCTATTTTAATCCTTATGTAGTGCACTACTTTGACCAGGGCCCATAGAGCTCTAGTCAAACTTAGTGCACTCTGAAGGGAAGAGGGTGCCATTTGGGACGCATCCATTGATTTCCTTTCCCGCCTCGTCCATGCGGGGAGCGTTCTACTCCCACACAGCTGAGGCAGACTAAAGCCTGATTGGAACACGCCAGAACTCGTATGATCCGACCCGTGGCATTGTGGTTAGCGGTTAGCATTGGCACGGATGCTACAGAAAGCTCTGGAAGGGGGAGGCTGAGGCTAAACAGAGTGGGTTGTTAGCTGGGAGGAGTTCTCAGGCCCAGGGCAGGGTAGGGAGGACCAGGGTTGGGATGGGATAGGTTGCAGGGATCGATGTGTTACATTGCCAGAGGGCTGGGGCCAGAGCTTGGACCACTGACCTCTAACGTGTGGACTTGGCCCCCTACCCTGGCTGGCTAATCTGGTACCACACAGCGGTGTAGCCTCAGACCAACCCGACCAGGCCGACATGTTCTGTCACAGCCAAGGCTAACGGAAAAAGACCCGACCGACGATTGCACCACATCCAGAGACAGGGACGTGCTCAGCAGATCAAGGCTGCCTATGGTGAGCCTTGGCTAGGGCTGGAAACAGGCACAGACCTCCCTGGATCACTGTGGAACCACAAAGACATGGGCTGTGTCCCAAATGGAACTATATTCCCTTTATAGGGCACCATGGTCATAGGTAGTGCACTACATAGAATATAATGCCATTTGAGATGCAGACATGGCCTTCCCCTCCCCAGCACTGACAGACTGATGGAGCATGCCACTAGGACGATAATAATCATATGACCTCAAATGCATCCAGCTAAGGTAATAATATAATAACCAGCTAAGGCAATAATATAATAACCAGCTAAGGCAATACACGCTCTGATCTGATGAGCAACTAAACTGGGAATGGGGCTGGGAAAGTAGTGATGCTTTCTCATCCAGTACACACAAATGCACACCCACACTCCCACTACAGAGGAGATGTTCAGTGATACCCACACTCCCACTACAGAGGAGATGTTCAGTGATACCCACACTCCCACTACAGAGGAGATGTTCAGTGATACCCACACTCCCACTACAGAGGAGATGTTCAGTGATACCCACACTCCCACTACAGAGGAGATGTTCAGTGATACCCACACTCCACTACAGAGGAGATGGGATCCCACACTCCCACTACAGAGGAGATGTTCAGCGATACCCACACTCCCACTACAGAGGAGATGTTCAGCGATACCCACACTCCCACTACAGAGGAGATGTTCAGCGATACCCACACTCCCACTACAGAGGAGATGTTCAGCGATACCCACACTCCCACTACAGAGGAGATGTTCAGCGATTACCCACACTCCCACTACAGAGGAGATGTTCAGCGATACCCACACTCCCACTACAGAGGAGATGTTCAGCGATACCCATACTCCCACTACAGAGGAGATGTTCAGCGATACCCACACTCCCACTACAGAGGAGATGTTCAGCGATACCCACACTCCCACTACAGAGGAGATGTTCAGCGATACCCACACTCCCACTACAGAGGAGATGTTCAGTGATACCCACACTCCCACTACAGAGGAGATGTTCAGTGATACCCACACTCCCATACAGAGGAGATGTCAGTGATACCCACACTCCCACTACAGAGGAGATGTTCAGTGATACCCACACTCCCACTACAGAGGAGATGTTCAGTGATACCCACACTCCCACTACAGAGGAGATGTTCAGTGATACCCACACTCCCACTACAGAGGAGATGTTCAGTGATACCCACACTCCCACTACAGAGGAGATGTTCAGTGATATCCACACTCCCACTACAGAGGAGATGTTCAGTGATACCCACACTCCCACTACAGAGGAGATGTTCAGTGATACCCACACTCCCACTACAGAGGAGATGTTCAGTGATACCCACACTCCCACTACAGAGGAGATGTTCAGTGCTTTCAGTACCACCACACAGTGAGGTGGTAGATTAGACACTGCCGTCAGCGGCATCACTTCTGTTGTCAACCATTTGTTGACAAATTCCTACGCCCCTTGAACTCAAAGAGACCAGTAACATCTGGGTAAATTAATTACAGCGGTGCGACATGGATTCCTTTTCAAGACGGGGCCCTTGATGTCAGAAGAGATATCAAATTGCTGCATTTGTTGAGTTGCACATGTTCTTCAGCACTGATCAAAACAAGGAGAAAAATAAAGGAACAGAACAGGGAAATGATCTGAAACAAAAAGGATTAGTTGTGTCAGGTATCCAGGCAACAGTAGGTTTGTTTTCTTAGAGAGAAACAACAACACAAAAAAGCTGAGGAGGAGCACGCAGGAGGAGCACGCAGGAGGAGCACGCTCATCATACCAGTAAGACAGAATGTCTGAGAGCTTCACATGTGAAGAAGAGGGATAGATCTCGTTCTGTTGGTCTTAAAGTTTTCCACTGGTTATCATTATAAAACGGTGACAAGGACATTGACTGACATGTAATGTTGATTATTTCTATGATGATTCTAGTTGAGGATCCGCTGTATACTACCAGTAACCATCCAGTCCATTCTCACAACAACGGCAGATTAGAGTAAAAACCGAGAGATGCAATACTAACCTTGAGGCGAAACTGTAGAGAAGAGAGGAGAGGAGCGTTCCAGGGCAAATATAAAAGCGAAGGAGCGAACATGAGAGAGAAAGAAGGAGGAAGACAAGGAGAGAAAACACAGAACAGAGAGCTAGGTTAGTAAGCATGAACAGATATTCTAAAAGAGGTTCTACTTGGAGTTCTAGTGTGAGAATCATACTGTGAAGTGCTACAGCCAGGACATCAGCATTTAGGGCAGAAAGACAGACAAGATAGAAAGAGAGAGGAAGAGAGAGAGAGGAGAGGAAGTGAAAAAATGATGAGACAGAAAGATTCAGACAGACAGACAGACAGATAGACAGAAAGATTCAGACAGACAGACAGACAACCAGACAGACAGAAAGATTCAGACAGACAGACAGAAAACCAGATAGACAGAAAGATTCAGACAGACAGAAAGACAGACAGCATTGAACAGTAGACCGACACCTAGTTTCACCTGACGGGGGCAGCAGTGAGGTTCCAGATGGATTTATGGTTAGAATCTATGTTGCCTCAGGGTTCTCCTGTTTGTAATCTGAGCCATGAGAGCCAGAGACAGATGTGAGCAGCTCTTTGAAAATAACCCACAATTCCTCCTGTTTCTGTGACAAACACGCAACGCTTCCTACTACAGCTTTGAACAGACGCCACGCATCATATTTAGTTTCCTCCTTTCTTTCTTTCTTTCTTTCTTTCTTTCTTTCCTTCCATCCATTCTCAGAGCCAAATCTCTGCCTTGACCACCGCTCTGATCGCTGATTTTCTGTATGGAGTTACTCAATCCACCCCAATTAACCATCACATAATGAAATAAACAACAACACACAGCCCCAAACAACCTGCCCTTAGAAATGAGGGAGGGAGGGAGGGTTTCTCAGAACAGAACAGGTAAACACACCATCGTTCCCATCTATCCTTCTAATTATCCACTGATCTTCAGCCAGACAAGGTTTCCTGTCAGGAACAAGTCTGATACTGCCGTCTGAACAAGCAGCAGAACATGATCACACACACACAATGATCTTCACTCCTCAACACACAGCAGAACATGATCACACACACAAAATGATCTTCACTCCTCAACACACAGCAGAACACAAAACTAAACTCTTTCCATTGCTGCCTCCCCTGCTGTCACTGCTGCTCCTCCTCAGATTACTCGGGGGGAAAGAGAAGGAGGGATTCAGTGTGTCCCTGTCTCTGTCAACGGCTGTCAGATATCCTTCTGGACCTGATGTAGCGAGGTGGGAGAACATTCATAATGATGGTTGCCTTCTAGCTCAAACTGACAGGTGTCTAGAAATATAGAACATATGGAATGTAACTGGTGAAGGATGTAACTGGTGAAGGATGTAACAGACAGGCTGGTGAAGGGTGAAACAGACAGGCTGGTGAAGGATGTAACAGACAGGCTGGTGAAGGATGTAACTGGTGAAGGGTGTAACAGACAGGCTGGTGAAGGGTGTAACAGACAGGCTGGTGAAGGGTGTAACAGACAGGCTGGTGAAGGATGTAACAGACAGGCTGGTGAAGGATGTAACAGACAGGCTGGTGAAGGATGTAACAGACAGGCTGGTGAAGGGTGTAACAGACAGGCTGGTGAAGGGTGTAACAGACAGGCTGGTGAAGGGTGTAACAGACAGGCTGGTGAAGGATGTAACTGGTAAAGGATATACAGTGAGGGAAAAAAGTATTTGATCCCCTGCTGATTTTTTACGTTTGCCCACTGACAAAGAAATGATCAGTCTATAATTTTAATGGTAGGTTTATTTGAACAGTGAGAGACAGAATAACAACAAAAAAATCCAGAAAAACGCATGTCAAAAATGTTATAAATTGATTTGCATATTAATGAGGGAACTAAGTATTTGACCCCCTCTCAATCAGAAAGATTTCTGGCTCCCAGGTGTCTTTTATACAGGTAACGAGCTGAGATTAGGAGCACACTCTTAAAGGGAGTGCTCCTAATCTCAGTTTGTTACCTGTATAAACGACACCTGTCCACAGAAGCAATCAATCAATCAGATTCCAAACTCTCCACCATGGCCAAGACCAAAGAGCTCTCCAAGGATGTCAGGGACAAGATTGTAGACCTACACAAGGCTGGAATGGGCTACAAGACCATCGCCAAGCAGCTTGGTGAGAAGGTGACAACAGTTGGTGCGATTATTCGCAAATGGAAGAAACACTAAAGAACGGTCAATCTCCCTCGGCAATCTCCCTCCCTCCCTTTGCCACCACTAAGTCATGTTTTGCAGAGGGGGTCAAGTACTTATTTCCCTCATTCAAATGCAAATCAATTTATAACATTTTTGACATGCGTTTTTCTGGATTTTGTTGTTGTTATTCTGTCTCTCACTGTTCAAATAAACCTACCATTAAAATTATAAACGGATCATTTCTTTGTCATTGGGCAAACGTACAAAATCAGCAGGGGATCAAATACTTTTTTCCCTCACTGTAACTGGTGAAGGATGTAACAGACAGGCTGGTGAAGGATGTAACTGGTGAAGGGTGTAACAGACAGGCTGGTGAAGGGTGTAACAGACAGGCTGGTGAAGGGTGTAACAGACAGGCTGGTGAAGGATATAACAGACAGGCTGGTGAAGGATGTAACAGACAGGCTGGTGAAGGGTGTAACAGGTGAAGGGTGTAACAGACAGGCTGTTGAAGGATGTAACTGGTGAAGGATATAACAGACAGGCTGGTGAAGGGTGTAACAGACAGGCTGGTGAAGGATGTAACAGACAGGCTGGTGAAGGGTGTAACAGACAGGCTGGTGAAGGGTGTAACAGACAGGCTGGTGAAGGATGTAACAGACAGGCTGGTGAAGGGTGTAACAGACAGGCTGGTGAAGGGTGTAACAGACAGGCTGGTGAAGGGTGTAACAGACAGGCTGGTGAAGGGTGTAACAGGCAGGCTGGTGAAGGATATAACAGACAGGCTGGTGAAGGGTGTAACAGACAGGCTGGTGAAGGGCGTATCAGACAGGCTGGTGAAGGATGTAACAGACAGGCTGGTGAAGGGTGTAACAGACAGGCTGGTGAAGGGCGTATCAGACAGGCTGGTGAAGGATGTAACAGACAGGCTGGTGAAGGGTGTAACATACAGGCTGGTGAAGGGTGTAACAGACAGGCTGGTGAAGGGTGTAACAGACAGGCTGGTGAAGGGTGTAACAGACAGGCTGGTGAAGGGTGTAACAGACAGGCTGGTGAAGGGTTTAACAGAAACGGCTGGTGAAGGGTGTAACAGGCAGGCTGGTGAAGGGTGTAACAGGCAGGCTGGTGAAGGATGTAACTGGTGAAGGATGTAACAGACAGGCTGGTGAAGGATGTAACTGGTGAAGTTTGTAACTGTTGAAGGGTGTAACAGACAGGCTGGTGAAGGGTGTAACAGACAGGCTGGTGAAGGGTGTAACAGACAGGCTGGTGAAGGGTGTAACAGACAGGCTGGTGAAGGGTGTAACAGACAGGCTGGTGAAGGGTGAAACAGACAGGCTGGTGATAGGTGTAACAGACAGGCTGGTGAAGGGTGTTACAGGCAGGCTGGTGAAGGGTGTAACAGGCAGGCTGGTGAAGGATGTAACTGGTGAAGGGTGTAACAGACAGGCTGGTGAAGGATGTAACAGACAGGCTGGTGAAGGGTTTAACAGACAGGCTGGTGAAGGGTGTAACAGGCAGGCTGGTGAAGGGTGTAACAGGCAGGCTGGGTGAAGGGTGTAACAGGCAGGCTGGTGAAGGGTGTAACAGACAGGCTGGTGAAGGGTGTAACAGGCAGGCCCAGGTTGTTCCTCTCTCTCGCCATCTCTTCCACCAGCTTCAATCCCTTTTCCTCTTCTTCTCCCTTTTCACTCCTCCACCAAGAGATATCACTTCTCTTTCTCCTTTCCACACCCTCTCCCTTTTCTCTTCCTCTAACAGTTTCCCTCTCTTCTCTCATTGTAGCAGTCACGTCCCCAACCTCTGACCCTCTCTGTTCTCTCCTGCCCTGCTCTGGAAGGGAGCGGAATGTGTGTGTGTGTGTGTGTGTGTGTGTGTGTGTGTGTGTGTGTGTGTGTGTGTGCTTGCGTGACGTAGTGATTGTGCCAAGCGGCCGTCAGTTGTGAGCATGGTTCTGACAGAGACATACTGCAGGGGCCAGGCTGACATGCCCGCTGGTTTCTGTGCTGGGTCAAAGGGGTGAGAGAGCGCCCTCACCCCCCCACCATCCTCTCCAGTGGAAGCTTCCGGCACATGCAGGCACACACACTGTTACCACAGACAGCTGAGAGAGAGAGAGTGGATACTTCCCAATGTTTTTAATGAGAGAGGGAGAGCAACACAGCCAGAGACCAACTCATGCTGTTCAATATCCCCTCACACACACACATACACACACCTCCCCTTAACACACCTGGATTCTCATCCTACATTTTCCACTGACTCTTGGCACAGAACAGAGCAGGTTCAGCTAAACACAACTTGTCATGTTATTTAGCTGTGCTGTTCATTGTAGAGAGGGGGGAGGTTGTCTGTCTGGCTGGTGTGAAAGCAGGACCCATTAAGTCTACAGTGATCTGGGGTCAGTCATGTAAGAACAAAGGATGCATCCCAAATGGCACCCTTGTCTCTATATAGTGCTATGGGTTCTGGTTGAAAGTAGTGCACTATGTAGGGAAAAGGGTGCCATTTGGGAGGCACACGACGTGTCTGTATTAATGGCCCAGAGGAAAAGCTCGGCCCGTTCAGATTTAGTTCCAGACACATCAGTTCACAACCCCTAATGACACACACACACACTCACAGAATCAAGGCTGTTTTGAAGGCCTGCATTTTTCATTATTTGATATATTTATACAGAGACTGAGACAGAGATGGAAGAAATCCTAAAGTAGCCTACAATTAATTATAACCAATTAGTCTACGTGAACTAAAAACACACGTCACACACGCTCAGACAGTTGTATATACAGACACACACACACAGACAGACACACACACACACACACACACACACACACACACACAGACACACACAGACAGTTGTATATACAGACACACACAGAGACAGACACACACACACGCGCGCTCAGACAGTTGTATATACAGACACACACACACACACACACACACACACACACTCACACACACACACAACACACACACACACACACACACAGACAGACACACACACACACACACACACACACACACACACATACACTAACACAGACAGACACACACACACACACACACACACACACATTCACACACACACACACACACACACACACAGACAGACACACACACACACACACACACACACATTCACACACACACACACACACACACACACACACACACACAGACAGACACACACACACACACACATACACTAACACAGACAGACACAACCCTTGTGCCCTTGCCAGGCAGCCTCTCCTGCATTCTAAGTGGGCTAGAGGCTGTGTGAGATCTGTGTTGCATAAAGAGGTGCTGATACACATTGATCAGAGAGCCAGGGGTTCCACCCACATCTACACTCCACAGACAACATGATCCCTACAGGCCACCGTACACAACAGCCCCATTACCATAAGCTGTAACTCACTTTACCACTAGGGGAAAAGCATTGTCAAGGCACTAAAACAATGGACCAGAGTAGGAGGTGTAGTGAATGTGTGAAGGGTTCAGAGGTTGGCTACACTGGCTTCAGGGGCCAAGAGTAAACCCTTAGGTGAATGACTGTGCATGGTGCTATAATGGAGAATAAGGGAGTGTTTAGGTGATTTATAATGCTAGACGGATTGGGATTGTGATCACTGTCAGTAACAGGCGAGGGAGTGACCATGACATCACCACTCACTTGCCCAGGTAGTCCCAGACTAGCCCTCCCATTGGCTGAGAGCCAGAGGTCACAGAGGTCGCCACCTGCTGAGGCTCATGGGAACGCCACAGGTGGGAGCGGCAGGGGGCCGGCAGGGACGTCTGACTGAGAGCCAGGCAAATACAGACATATTTGTAGACAGACACGTACAAACGTACACACACACACACGCACACACACACACACAAGTGCGTTCACAAAGAGCACCATAGCATGACGACACACGTATTGCCAGTAGTTAAAACAAGGAGAGAGAGAATAGGGGTTTGGGATTGAGATGTAGCTAACGTAAGAGTTTACAAAGAACACAATAAATAAAGATACATAGATACAGAAACAAAAGTCACACAAACAGACAGACAGACAGACAGAGAGAGGACAGACAGAGAGACAGAGAGACAGACTGACAGAGAGACAGACAGACAGAGGACAGGGGTTATATTGTAGAGAACAGACAGAGGACAGGGTTATATTGTAGAGAACAGACAGAGGACAGGGGTTATATTGTAGAGAACAGACAGAGGACAGGGTTTATATTGTAGAGAACAGACAGAGGACAGGGGTTATATTGTAGAGGACAGACAGAGGACAGGGGTTATATTGTAGAGGACAGAGGACAGGGGTTATAGTGAGAACAGCGAGGACGGGTTATATTTAGTGTAGAAACAGACAGGGACAGGGTAATATAATTAGTGTAGAGAACGACAGAGTACAATGGTTATATTGAATAGAACAGGCAAGATGACAGTGGTTTATATTGTATGAGAACAGACATAGGACCGGGGTTATATTGTAGAGAACGGCGAGTACCAGTGGTTATATTGTAGAGACAGACAGAGGACAGGGTTATATTGTAGAGAACATACCAGAGGACAGGGGTTATATATTAGTGTAGAGAACAGACAGAGGACAGGGTTATATATTAGTGTAGAGAACAGACAGAGGACAGGGTTTATATCTTAGTGTAGAGAACAGCAGAGCAGGGTTTATTTATTGTAGAGAACACGAGTACATGGTATAATATTAGTGTATAGAACAACAGAGGACATTGTTATATTAGTTTAGAGACAGACAGAGGACAGGGTTATATATTAGTGTAGAAACAGAACGAGGACAGGGTTATCTTAGGTAGAACAGACAGAAGGCAAGGGTTATATAATTAGTGTAGAGAACAGACAAGAGGACAGGGTTATATATTAGTGTAAGAGACAGACAGAAGGAACAGGTGGTTATATTGTAGAGAACAGACAGAGGAACAGGGTTGTATATTTAGTGTAGAGAACAGACAGAGGACAGGGGTTTATATTGTGTAAGAGAACAGACAGAGGCCAGGGTTATATATTAGTGTTGAGAGAACAACCGAGGACAGGGTATATATCGTTTAAGAAATACAGAGGACCGGGGTTATATATTAGTGTTAAGAGAACAGACAGAGGAACAGGGTTATATATTAGTGTAAGAAACAGACAGAGGACAGGGTTATATATTAGTGTAGAGAACAGAACAGAGGAACAAGGGTTATATATTAGTGTAGAGGAACAGACCAGAGGACAGGGTTAATATATAGTGTAGAGAACAGACAGAGGACAGGGTTAATATTAGTGTAGAGAACAGACGAAGGACAAGGGTTATAATATTAGTGTAGAGACAGACAGAGGACGGGTTATATATTATTGGTAGAGAACAGACAGAGACATGGTTATATTAAGTGTAGAGAACAGACGCGGACAGGGTTATATATTTGTAGAGAACAGACAGAGGACAGGGTTTGTATATTAGTGTAGAGAACAACGAGGACAGGGTTATATATTATTGTATAGACAGACAGAGTACAGGTTATATATTAGTGTAAGAGAACAACAGGGCCAGGGTATATATTAAGTGTAGAAACAGACATAGGACATGGGGTTATATTGTAGAGAACCGAAGAGGACAGGGGTTATATTGTCAGAACAGACAGAGACAGGGTATATATTAGTGTAAGAACAACAGAGGAAAGGGTTATATATTAGTTTAGAGAACAGACAGAGGACAAGGTTTATATTTATTGTCGAGAACAGACGAGGACAGGGTTATCTTGTAGAGACAGACCGAGGTACAGGGTTATATTGTGAGAAACAGACGAGGACAGGGTTATATTGTAGAGAACAGACACGGACAGGGTTATATTGTAAGAACATACAGAGGACAAGGGTTATATATTAGTGTCGAAACGACAGAGGACAGGGTTTATTTGTAGAGAACAGACAGAGGACAGCAGGGTTATATGTAGATAACAGACAGAGGACCAGGGTTAATTTGTAGAGAACAGACAAGGACAGGATTGTAGTGTGAGACAGACAGAGACAGGGGGTTATATATTAGTGTGGGAGAACAAACAGAGGACAGGGTTATATATTAGTGTAGAGAACAGACAGAGGACAGGGTTATATATTAGTGTAGAGAACAGACAGAGGACAGGGTTATATATTAGTGTAGAGAACAGACAGAGGACAGGGTTATATATTAGTGTAGAGAACAGACACAGACAGACTTCTCTCTCTCAGACAAAACCCCCCAGACAGAAGACAGGTTCTTCTTAGTCTTTAGAGAACTCTTCCCCCCAGACAGACTCTCTTCTTCTCTGAAAACAGACTCTCTCTCTCTCTCAGACAGACTCTCTCTCTCTCTCTCAGACAGACTCTCTCTCTCTCAGACAGACTCTCTCTGCATCTCTTCTCAGACAGACTTTCTCTCAGATAGACTCTCTCTCTCTCTCAGACAGACTCTCTCTCAGACAGACTCTCTCTCTCTCTCTCAGACAGACTCTCTCTCTCTCAGACAGACTCTCCCCCTCTCCCCAGAAAAGACTCTCTCAGACAGACTCTCTCAGACAGACTCTCAGACAGACCTCTCTCAGACAGACCTCTCTCAGACAGACTCTCTCAGACAGACTCTCTCAGACAGACTCTCTCAGACAGACCCTTTCAGACAGACTCTCTCAGACAGACTCTCTCAGACAGACTCTCTCAGACAGACTCTTACTTCTCCAGTTCATTGATCTTCTTGTCCTTGTCATTCTTCTCGTTCTCCATCTCTCGGAGGATCTCCAGCAGCCGGTCCACCTCCACCTGGGCCTTTCCAGAATCCTCTCTGTGCCGAGTCACTTCCTGTTCCAGAGTGATGATGCGTTCTGACAGCTCCGTGTTGGCCTGGGCCTCCAGCATGGCATTCTGGGCCTGGACAGAGGGCAGGGGTCAGAGGTCAGGGGTTAGAAGTCACGATAACAGCGCATGGCCACTGGTAGTGCCTGACCTGTCCTGCCTCCCTCTGGCCCTGAGGCCTGAGCCCTATACAGCTGTTCTCATTCCTGTCCTGCCTCCCTCTGGCCCTGAGGCCTGAGCCTCATACAGCTGTTCTCATTCCTGTCCTGCCTCCCTCTGGCCCTGAGGCCTGAGCCTCATACAGCTGTTCTCATTCCTGTCCTGCCTCCCTCTGGCCCTTAGGCCTGAGCCCTATACAGCTGTTCTCAGACCTGTCCTGCCTCCCTCTGGCCCTGAGGCCTGAGCCCTATACAGCTGTTCTCATTCCTGTCCTGCCTCCCTCTGGCCCTGAGGCCTGAGCCCTATACAGCTGTTCTCAGACCTGTCCTGCCTCCCTCTGGCCCTGAGGCCTGAGCCCTATACAACTGTTCTCATTCCTGTCCTGCCTCCCTCTGGCCCTGAGGCCTGAGCCCTATACAACTGTTCTCAGACCTGTCCTGCCTCCCTCTGGCCCTGAGGCCTGAGCCCTATACAGCTGTTCTCAGACCTGTCCTGCCTCCCTCCTCTGTGTTCTTTGGAAGCAGCTCTAAGGGCTCCAACACTGACCTGAGCACAGGGAGGGCCACACCTCAAACACAGCATCACTTCCTTTCTGTATGTTTCTCTTTCTTCTCCTAATTTCAGCTCCATGCAGGCCACGCCCCCAAACCCAACAGATATAAACCGTGCTAGGGTGGGGGTGAACGCAGGGGCACACACACAGCTCCCGACAGCCAGGCACCTGCTCTAACCATGGGAGGGGTGATGGGGGTATAGAGGGGGAATAGAGGGGGTTGGGGGTGGGGACGAGGGGTACACCCGTAAGACCCAGCTGAGCTGGCTACCCTCCCTCTCCCCCTGCCTTCCCCAGAGGTTAGCCGTCTGTGACGTCAAGGCCCAGTAGGGGTATATGGGCTGAGATGGGGCTGGTTAGGGTGCTGTTTAGGGGGCAGTGAAGCTGACTTGGGCTGGGTAATGTCCCATGTCTTGGGCCCTAAGGGATAGATGTCTGTGGTGTCCGGTCCCAGACCAAGAGGCTGGCTAGGGGACAAGGATGTGTCATGGAGGGTGTCGTGACAGTTCCAGAACCCCCACTGTTTAGTGTGTCACACATGGTGCCACAACCTTAGCTAACCCTGTGACATCAGAGCAGGGCTGGGACGCACTGAAGAGCAAAGGACTGGGGAAAATGACTAAGGTCTCTAATGACTAAGGTCCACATAAATCTGCCTGTCTGCACGTCTAAGCGTGTCTCCATATACTCAGTCCCATTTATGTCTATTGGCCCTGAGCAGGGAACTAAGTTTAGACGCTAGGTGCTTACGCTTAAACTTAACTGGTCAGTCTAATGTAAAATCATTAAGCCAATTTCCCCTCACAGTGAATGGAGTCAGTCTGGAGGACAGGGTGAATCAGTCCAGAGAAATGTCTATAATAAAAGTTGTAGTGTTGCTATGACTTTTACTGCAGAGAAGGGGATTGAGGGGTTGGAGGAGAGAGAGAGAGAGACAGTTATACAGCCCCTTAGATATGGAGCTGGGAACACAGCTACTACACAGCTACTAAACTCACCAGCCCCAGTGACTGCCAGCCATTCACAAGCCGGTGGTCAGTCAGGTCAGTCAGGTCAGTCAGGTCAGTCAGGTCAGTCAGGTAGTCAGTCAGTCAGATAGATCCAGTCAGGTCAGTCAGTCTCAGTTATCAGTCAGGTCCGATAGATCAGTCAGGTAGATCGGTCAGGTCAGTCAGGTAGCTCCGTCAGGTCAGTCAGGTAGATCCTTCAGGTCAGTCAGGTCAGTCAGATATATCAGTCAGGTCTCAGATATATCAGTCAGGTCAGTCAGGTCGGTCAGATATATCAGTCAGGTCAGTCAGGTCAGTCAGATATATCAGTCAGGTCAGTCAGACTACAGCAGGATTCCTCTATCAGGCCAAACTATCTTCCCCTTGGTCTCTCTAGTCTCTGATGTATCCATTCAGCCAACCAGTCTCTGGATGATTCCATAGCAGACAATCTCTGAATGTTATCCATACGCCAGCCAGTCTCTGAATTTATCCATTCAGCCAGACAGTCTCTGATATATCCATCAGAGCCCAATCTCTAAATGTTACCCATCAGCCAGACCAGTCTCTGATGTTTCCATACAGCCGACCATCCTAATGTTATCCATACAGCGCAGTCTCTGAATGTTATCCATTCAGCCATACCAGTCCTGGATGATATCCATACAGCCAACCATCTCTGATGTTTCCATACAGCCAGACATCTCTAATGTTATCCTCAGCCGACAGTCTCTGATGTTCCATACAGCCAGACCTCTGATGTTTCCACGCCGACCAATCTCTGAATGTATCCATACAGCCAGCCCAATCTCTGAATGTTATCCATACGCCAGCCAGTCTCTGATGTTATCCTACAGCCACCAGTCTCTGGATGTTATCCATACAGCCAGACCATCTCTGAAGTTATCCATACAGCCAGACCATCTCTGAATGTTATCCATCAGCCGACCAGTCCTGATGTTATCCATACAGCCAGACCATCTCTGGAGTTTCCATACAGCCAGCCAATCTCTGATCTTTCCATACAGCCACCAATCTCTGATTGGCCTTTCATACACCAGACCAGTCTCTGATGTTATCCATACAGCCAGACCAATCTCTGGATGTTATCCATACAGCCAGACCAGTCTCTGAATGTTATCCATACAGCCAGACCAATCTCTGAATGTTATCCATACAGCCAGACCAGTCTCTGAATGTTATCCATACAGCCAGACCAGTCTCTGAATGTTATCCATTCAGCCAGACCAGTCTCTGAATGTTATCCATACAGCCAGACCAGTCTCTGAATGTTATCCATTCAGCCAGACCAGTCTCTGGATGATATCCATACAGCCAGACCAGTCTCTGAATGATATCCATACAGCCAGACCAGTCTCTGAATGTATCCATACAGCCAGACCAGTCTCTGAATGATATCCATACAGCCAGACCATCTCTGAATGTTATCCATACAGCCAGACCAGCCCTCTGATGATATCCATACAGCCAGACCAGTC